TTAATTTTACTGATTCAATTTTATGATTTTAATTTTATTTATTTAAAATAATTTTAAATAAAATCTCAATTTGGTAACTTTGATATCTACCCTTCCCAATATGTATAAAATACAAAATACCATGCATTAAGTTATCCAGTACATACGCCTTTACAGTACTCGTTCTCAAGGTTTGGCTTTTGCAAAAGACGCGTTACCCTGCATCAGACACGTTACCCTGCAGAAAAATTAAAGATAACTTTGGGTTTGAAATTCATTCATGGAAAAGCATAAAAAATTATAAAGTGAAATTTTAATTAACAATAAGGTCACGATCTTATTATGATTGGTTGGATAAAAAATAATTAAAAATAAAATTATTTTAATTTGTCATATTATTTTTTTTATACCATGAATAATTATTTTTTAACTATATAAATTGATTACATGATATCATTTTCATTTCATAAAAAAAAATGTCACTTTTAGATTGAGTTAACCGTACACCTGTGATTTAATTGATTGCAAGGGAAAAAAACTTAAAATTTTTTTTATCAAAATAAAAAGTCCAAATTAAAGTTTTAACCATCATATTTTTATTTGATGTGATGCGATTACATTTTTATCTAATGTGATGCGCTCCATACCTCGCATAAGCATAAGAACAAGTCAGTCCACATTATCAAACGCCTTAAAATTTTGTATCAGTCACTCTTCCTTTGCCAACCTCCTTATCCCATGTCGCAAATGCGCGTGTCTTCCACTCCTTGCACCTCTACCAAACCCTCTTTCCTCAGCGTGCTACCCCGGCCTGAACTGGTGGTATTCCCGTAACGAGACCAAGCTTCCTCCCCCACATAGCCGCTCCCTTGCAACCTCCCTACCTGGCTCAGCCCGTCAAGAAGCAGCCTTTAGCCTTTTCACCTGCCCCCCACACCCTCCCTTTTCCACACGCAGCCGCACCACTCATAGCCTCTTCCCAAATAAATTAGAAATCAAAAAAATATAATCAATTAGCAATTATTATTAAGAATATTAAAAGTCAAATAATCAATAATTAAAAGTCTAAAGTCAAAAACAATTAACAATTACAATAATTGATAATTACAAAAGAAAAAATCATAAAGAAATGATTTAATGGTTAAAATTTTAAAATTTTAAATT